ACCGGGCTGGCCCAAGCTTATGTTTTTTTAAGTGTCTAATCAGCTCTATAAAGAATCGGAAAACCTGAATTCTAATTCTACTTTACAACATTAATGTAGCGCGGCAGAAGACACCAGAGAGATGAGTTGCCCTAGCTGTGTGACCTGCCTTTGACAAACTTTTAAACCTGGTTAGCCTTAGATTTCTATTATTTAGTTCAATGAATATTTATTGAATGCTCAGTGTCAGGCTGTGGTCTAGGCAATGAGGCTACATTAGTGAATAAAAGAAACAAACAAACAAACAAAATCCCTGCCCTTACCAGTTTACATTCTAATGAGAAGAGACATACAAAAAAGAATATGCATAATAAATAAGCAAATTAAACACTATGTTAGAAAATAAGTGCTATGGAGAAAAAACAGATCAGGATAAGGACATTTGGGAGTGGGGGGGGTTGTATTTTTAAGGTGGTCAAAGTAGACCTCACTGAAAATGACAACTGGGCAAAACTTTAAAAGAAGGAATGAATGAGGAGTTTAGCTGCAGGAAGACTGTTCCAGCCCCACCTTTCCCCACAAAAACTGGTGCAAAGGCACTGAAGCAGGAATGTATCTGTCCTATTCAGAAACTAGAAAGGAGGCTGACTTGGCTGGAGAAAAACAAGCAGGAGAAAAGAGTATTATTAAATGGGATCAGAGAGGTAAGAAGTAGAAGTAGGATAGCAGGAGGCAAATCCTACAGGGTACTGTAAGCCATTGAAAGGACTTTGCTTCTACTGTGATGAAATGGAGAGCCATCAGCATCATTCACGATAGCCAAAAGGTATGAGCAACCGCGGCAGATAATCAGATAAACAAAAGGTGGTGTGAACAGTATTCAACCTTGAAATGGAGCAAAATTCTGATACATGCTACTACACATACAAATCCTGAAAACATGCTAAGTGAAATAAGCTAGACCCAAAAGGACATATATTGTATGATTCCACTTATATGAGGGATCATGAATAGTCAAATTCACAGAGACAGGAAGTAGAATAAAGGTTACCAAGGGCTGGGCAGGGGTGGGGGAAGGTGTTACTGTTTAATGGGTACAGAGTTTCTATTTGGGATGATGAAAAGGTTCTGTAAATGAACAGTGGCAATGGCTGTGTAACATTGTAAATGTACTTAATGCCACTAAATTGTACACTTAGAAAAGGTAAATTTTGGCTGGCCCCGTGGCTCACTCGGGAGAGTGCAGTGCTGGTAGCGCTGAGGCCACGGGTTCGGATCCTATATAGGGGTGGCCGGTGCCCTCACTGGCTGAGCGTGGGGCAGACGACACTGAGCCGAGGGTTCCGATCCCCTTACCGTTAAAAAAAAAAAAAAGAAAGAAAGAAAGAAATGGTAAATTTTATGTTATGTATATTTACCAAAATTAGAAATAAAATTTTTAAAAAGAATGAGCCTTCAAAGGAAGGTTGAGAATTACTAGTCTACCATACTTGGTCTATAATAAAACATCACAATTTATGTACATCACTGTTAGAGAATGAGCTATTCTAAATGACTTCCAGATAAACTGCCCCTTTTTGTGAAAAACATAAAAGAATCATTTTGATGGACTTCTAAATAACTTGGTATTTCTTTATTCTATAAAATTGAATATACTGAATATATGCAAGGTTAATAACTGTATTCTTACTATAATAGGGTAGAAGCTCCTAAAATTCACAGACCTGTTAATTAAATGTTCCCTATTCTTTATTTGAGTAATGTCAACCATATATATATATATAATGAGGCGTATATAATACACCTCTAACTGCTCATTGTTGTTTACTCTGGTATCAATATTCCTACCTCCAATACCCCTCCACACTACTTGCAATACACCAGTAAACTCAAAAACCAAGTTTGCAATGATGTATATAAATAATATCTAATGAGTTCAGTAAATCTAGTTATTCTCTTATGCTCAAATGTGTTAGGCTCAGCATTAACTTTTCTTTACTCCATGGCTTTTGGCAGTGTTGGACAAAAACTTCCAAGTAGGACATCGGCCATGGTAAGCCAGTGAGAATTTTTCCATATTAAAGATTTATAAACACATATTTTGGGGAAACTGAACTAAGACTAAAAGTCAAAGGTAACATTTACAGAAAATTAGGTTCTTAAAATCTTAGATTGCTTTACTGGGTCAACAAATGCTTTAAACCACATTTTTACCAATAAAAATCTTCCCCCAAAAGAACAGTCCTTAATAAATCCTACTTCCTACAAGTTTACCATAATAAGTTATCAAAAAATTCTACACATAAAAAACAATTTAAGTAAAATAGTGATCATATAAAATTATGTTGTTCATGAAAATTTATTGGCTTCTTTACACACTGTAAATATGTCTTACTGAAAAAGGTAAAAACTGTGAATAAGTTACAAAGTATTACTTTATTCTCCACATTATAATCTATAAATTGTTATCTCTTAAGGTCTCTCCAGTCTATACACCTCACAGAAGAATATCTAAATAGATAAATATGCCCGTGCTGAGAAGTTTATAAAGGAAAAAAGCTTATATTATTCGATCCAAAAGACAAATGGATCATAAAGTAGGAAACATTTATTTTTGATGTAGCGTCTCAGTTTTATCATGCCTCTTTCCAAGAGAAAGGAATCTTTATTTTAAAGTGAGACTGATCAGTAGAAAATAATCAGAGGTTACAAAGAACTAAAGGACGACTGCCGAATGAAGAAAGGCTATGCTAAGAAAAATGATGGGAAGAGAGAATGAATGAGAAAAAAGCCAAGTATAATTTAGAATACCTTAAGTCAAAAAGAGAGAAAAAGAATTTATAACAGTGGACCAAAGGGACAGAAAAAACAAGAATCACAGGATAAACACCAGGTGGTAAGGAACATGGTTACCAAGTAAAAAACTTGAACAAGAGGGGCATAACTAAGGACTCAAACGAGACTTTTCTAAATGAAAACAAAATAAAAGAAAAAAAGTGAGAGCCCTTTCAAAACTATAAAAGTGAAGTTATAGGAAATGACCAGAAGTATATTAAATCCAAACATAAGGGCTTTAAAAGGATGTGCTCTGGACTAAAAGCAAAGTGACAGCTTTAGCATAGTACCTTATGCCAAAGTAATATTAAGGACTATAACCATGATCTACTACTCTGTATATCTATACATACAGATCCCAAATCCTTTCTTAGTACTGGAAATCTTACTAAAGATAGGGTTCTGAGCTCTTTTTTTAAATCTCTGAAATCAAGCCTGGTGGGTGACTACCTACTTTGCAAAGGGAGCACTAAAGTGACTAGAGTACCTAAAGCTCAGTGAGAAACACTTCTGTGACACCTGGAGCCATTCAATATTTACCAACTGTATATACATGTTCTGTACTTGCTCATGTGTTTCCTGATTTTAAAATAAACATGATGATTCAATGCTCATTGTTGAATAAGTTCAAAGTACTTTGCATAACTAATATTTTTCATTTTTGTATTTCCTTGAGAAGAAAGTAGAGATGTAGTTAATATAAATTATTAAAGCAGAAAAATTGAAGACTTACCTAATATTGTAACAATTTAAAAACAAATCCAATAATTATACTCCTTATTTTATAAACTATCAGACAACATTCCTTCAATGAAAGCAGCTGAAAAAAATCCCCACATAAAACACGTATTATAGAAGGTCATATATATAAGCATGTAGAGGAATTCTAGAGCTGTGCTATCCCAATACAGTAGCCACTAGTCACAAGTGGCTATTTAATTTAAAATCAAATTAATTAAAGCTAAATAAAACTTTAAATTCAGTTCCTCAGCTGTACTAGTCACATTGCAAGTGCCAAATCCACATGTGGCTACTGCATTGGACAGGGCAGACACAGAATACTTCCACCATCACAGGAAGTTCCACTGGACAATACTGTCCTAGTGAAATGGTATCTGGAACTGGGGAGACAGTCTACATGCCAGGCATTTGTTACTAATCTTCAAGATAGCCAGATCTGAACTATTCATAAAGTCAAACAGTACCCCTTAGATTCGTTAGAGTCTTACAAATCATATAAAACCACTCATCATTTGTCTTTTCTTTTTAATTTGGCTGTCATATTCCCATTTTGATAATAGGCTATAGTGAATCAGCATCACTACTCACTTGACATAAAATTTTACTTGTTCTGGATGAGTGGCTATTTGTAGTGCTATTGTGCTGCTCTTCCACTGTTTTCATGAATGTTAAGTCTTTGTTTTGTTTTCATAGGTATAAATCCTCCTCTACAGTCAATACAATACCAAACTGTTTTTTTTTATTTAAAGATATTAAAATTACATTTTCATGTTTAAATATTCATTCTACACTGGAGATTCCAATTAACTATATCTTCTATGACTTTCTTGACATGGATTCACAAATATTTGCAAAGATTTTTTATAGCAGTATTTGAATTTTTTAAGTTCTTTCAAGTAAGAAAAATAGGTTTCTGTTTCAAAGACTTACTTTTTAAAGCAATTCTGTGGATTCAGAGACTAACTCAAGCTTTAAAATTACTTTAAATGTTCACACAATATTTTTTCAGTTCACATTTTGAAGATGATTTAAGCTTTTATACGATCATTTAAAAACTTACTTCAAAACTAAGGTCTTGGATCAAGACATCTCCATTTGGCGTAGCTAAAGGAACATGATCAAACCTACAGAGGAAATAAATTTAAAAAAGGATAATTAAAATATATATAAGGAACTCATACAACTCAAGAAAAATACAAATAACCCAATTAAAAAATGGGCAAGGGTCCTAAATAGAAACTTCTTAAAAGAAGAAATTCAGATGGCCAACAGGCATATGAAAAAGTGCTCAACGTCTCTAATCATCTAGGAAATGCAAATCAAAACCACAGTGAGATATCACTTCACACCCGTTGGGATGGCTATTATCAAAAAGACAAAAGATAAGTGTTGGCAAAGGTGTGAAGAACAGGGAACCCCTGTACCTTGTTGGTGGGAATGTAAATTATTATGGAAAACAGTACTGAGGTTCCTCAAAATTTTTAAAATAGAACTATGATATGATCCAGCAATCCCACTTCTGGGTATATATGCAAAGGAAATAAAATTAGTACCTCAAGGAGATATCTACACTACCCTGTTCACTGCATCATTACTCTCAATAATCAAGATATGGAAACTACCTGAATGTCCTTCAACTGATGAAAATGATAAAAAAAATTATAGTGTGTGCATAGACATGTATATACACACACACGCATATGTATATTCACAGAGTGAAGCATCATTCGTCCTTACAATAGAAGGAAATGAGAAGGAACTGCTATTTTCGACAACATGAATAGAGCTGGAGAATATGCTAAATGAAATAAGCAAGATACAGAAAGAGAAACACTGTATGATCTTACTTGTATGTGATCTAAAATTGTCAAGAAGCAGAGAGTAGGATGGTGGTTGCCAGCGGTAAGGGAGAGGAAGAAATGAGGTGACGTTGTTCAAAGGATACGTTTCGGTTACACAAGATAAGTTCTGGAGAACTAATATACAGCATGGGGACAATAGTTAAAAACACTGTACTTTATCCTTGAAATTTGCTAAGATAGATCTTAAGTTCTCACCATACACACAAGAATGGTAACTGTAGAGGTCACAGATAAGCTAATTAGCTGGAATGTGGTGATTATTTCACATTGCATACTTGCATCAAAACATTAAGCAGAACATCTTAAATATATACAATTTTTATGTCAATATTTTAAAGCTATCATTAAAAAGGTCATTTTTAAATTAAACACTAAGCAACTGTAAGCTGAAAGAGAAAGGCTACTATGAAGTTTAACAAATATTTATAGTGTTAAAAACGTTTACAGGTACATACTTTATAATGTTATCTGCATTGATGATTTCTCCAGCACCAGGTATTAAGGGAATGATTTGTGCTCCTTCAATTCCTTAAATGGAAAATAAGTATTGAAGCATCATATTATGTCAGCAAAAACTTAAAATTTTGACGGCAAACTGTGACATTCATATTTACCCCTTTCCTGTTGTGAAACCATTGTGCGTTCATATTTGCCGTGATTTAAATCCTTTAATACTTGCATTAATTCTGTAATCCGAGCAGTAAAACTAAAATTTTTAAAAAAGGAAACCATAATCAAAACTCCTGACTGTTGTTATATCTTTTATTTTATACAAACTTAACTGAAGTTTCTAAAATTATAATTTAGTTTAAATGAAATAACCTAAAAGAAGTCTCGTCAACCTGAAGTATTAATGATAGTATGCATGTTTTATTATGTTTGGATAGGAATGCAGAAACATGGGGATAAGGAAAGAGGTTTCATGGGACCTCTATCTCAACAGATACTTCATTAATAGGCAAGTCAAGATGGCTGTTTGCTGCCAGGATTTTAAGAAAGTTTCTCATGGATACTACAAAAGGACTACTGCTGGTGCATTCTTAGACCCAGAAGTAGGAACCCTGATTTGCTGCTGGAGTGTATAAAGTTGGCCTTGAACTGTAAAGATATGAGAAAAGTTATTAACAAGTAAGAAGAATGTTAGCATTCTCAAGAGAAAGAGACTACTCGTAGTTTACAACTTCTAGCTTGCCATGAAGACCTTAAGTGCCCCAGGAAGAAAGAAAAAGGAATAAAGAGGAAGAAATATGAAGATGGATCACAGGACTAGGAAAGATCTTAAGTTATCAAATTTCTTCAGGTAACCTAAAATTTATCATGCTTTTTATTTTATGGTGTTTTTTACACCACACTGTGCCCTTTATATTAGAACTTGAAATATTGAAATATTTAGTTCTGTTCTATGGTCTAAGAACAATTTTACTACTAAACAATATGACCATATTTACAATTGTACCTGCAGATACCATAAGTTAACTTTTCATTTTTTCCATTAAAATTAACTTCACTTTTGTTTATCTGTTTTGCTAGGTTGCCAGTATCAAAGTTCTAACAATAAGAATATATGATGGGGCACAAAAAAGTTCAAATGAGAAAATTCTACTCATTAACTTAATTTTCTGTGAATTAAGAAGACTGCTATGATTCAACATTTCCCAACTTATCAAATACCAGTGTTCATAGAGTAAAACTGCTTGAGAACCACTAATCTAGTGTAAGGCTCAAAACAGCTGTCTTCAGGAAACAAGAAAAGTTCACTGTCAGAGAGCAAGTTTCCTTAATTTTCTATCAAAACCAGCTTCCTGGAGTAGGAAATGTCAACTGGGCACAATCATGAAGGATAACATATTTTTAAAAATTGTTCTCTGCAACCGCTCATTATTATTAATCTTACCCAGCCAATCTAGTCATTTCGCGCCCAGCCAAAACTATTCGACCCAGAGCTTGAGACATTCGCAAAAGCATTCTTCCACTTTGGTAGTAGTCCTTAAATAGAAATGAATATTAGTTTGTGCTTAAATTTCTAAGATTAAAAACTAGGTCTTCTTTATTTTTAAACTTTCATTTTATCATTCCTTTACCTCCAGCAGTTCTGAATGTGTACTCTTGAGATGTCGAGGATGAGACAAATCTAGGAAAGGACGACTGACAACCAGGTAACCAACTACAGTTGCAAGATCTGAAACAAACAGTTAAGGCTGAAAATGTTAGCAATGTTTCACTTTTTCCACATATGGCATTGAGCCATCAATTTTAAAACATACTTACATTTGGCAATTATGCTATCAATGAAGCCCATAGAGAACCGAAACAAAATGAAATTATGTAGATGCTCCACCTGGAAGAAAACAAAAACAAAAAATGTATACTTTTCTACATATAAAAAAATGAATCTACTGTGAGAATAAAACAAATTATATAATGCATTTATTTAACAAATATTTACAGAATGCTTATGATTGCTGATTATACTGCATATCACACCTCATTGAGCACAATGATAATCACACAGCAGGTGCCAAACATTTCATGAAATCACTTTTATGCAAACAGAATGGAAACTACATGAACAATTTTAACAATGTTGTTTCCCTTGCATGTAACAACAGTACAATGTTACTGTATGCACAATACTGTCAGATAGTCCAAAACTGACCAACAACCAACAAAAAGAATAGAGGGATGAGCTAATTTGGATGAAACACTAGCTGTCCAGATTGGCACTCAATGCTTTCATTTTAGTGGAAACACGTGGTCTGTGCTTTCTCTAAGAATTATATTACATCCAATCTGAACTGAGAACTAATGTAAGTCAATGCCATACAGTCTGAGTCTGTAGCTTTACTCTGAGTATGCATTAACTCAAAACCAAAAGTCTTAAAATGTTTTCTATTCTGGAGTTTTAATGTTCTTGAATGTCCATTTATCCAATTATTCCAGGTCCTGCATGACCTGGGACTGGACTCTGTTTTCAAGCTCATCTGCTTCTACTTTGCTCCTTCTCACTCAGCTCCAGAAATAACAGTTTCTCAAACATGCACCTGCCTTAAGGTTTTCCTCTTGATGTTCCCTCTGCCAAGAGTACTTTTTTCCTAGATTCTTACATTTTGTGATAATTCCCTCACTTCATGTGGGTTTCTAATTAAATGTCACCTCTCGAGAAAGACCTTCTTGGCCATTCTAGCTAAGGTAGCTAGGCAGTAGCTCTCATCATACTCCATCCCTTTAGCCTGCTTCATTTTTGGTCACAGAACTTATTACCACCTAAAATCATATAGAACATCCAGTTGTTTGCATATTCACTGTCCCCTCCATGAAAATGTGAGCTTCCTGAGTTCAGAGTAGTTTGTTCCCAGTATCTTCTGCTACAAGAACAATGACCGGAACTTCTACTCAATGCATAATCATGTGTCAGGCACTGTGCTCAATGCTGAAGATATGACAATGAATAGAACAAAGTGTCCCTGAGTTCATGGGGTTTATATTCTAATGAAAGAGGATAATTAGTAAACAAACAAGATAATTATAGATTACAATATATGCTTTTAAAGAAACATCATTAAAACAAAGAGGAACAATTGGAGGTCATTTCAAGTAGGCTGATCAGAGAAGGCAAAGCCTCAATAAGCCTCAAAATCTAAAGGATGAAAATAAGCAAGCCAGGTGAAAAGCAACAGGTGAACACCAGTCTCCTGGAATATTACGTTAAGCACATTTTATCATGAGCACCCTAAAAGTTCAGTCCTGTTAAATATGAAATAATTTAAAATGACAGCCTCTTTAACCTTTCTAAATCATCTAAAATATATATCTAATTTCACCGACTTCCACTAAAATGTAAGGTCCTTGAAGGCAGGACTTAACCTGTCATGTTTACCTCCACTGCTATTAGCACCTGGAGAAGCACTGGCACTTAGATTAGATAGCACTCAACATCTTCTGAATAAATAATGAATAAAATTACTTGAGTTCAAATTTTCCACGTGGCAAGTGAATAAAAATTGAAGTATAGCTTTTACAAGAAACAATGTCTATATTCTAAATCAAAGGTCAGCAAACTATGATCCAGTCTAAATATAGCCTGTCGCTTGTTTATGTAAATAGAGTTTTATTAGAACACAGCCACACCCATCCATTTAGGTACTGTACATGGCTACTTCTGAGCAGCAGAGATGAATAGCTGCAACAGAAACTGTATGGTCTGAAAAGCCTAAAATACACATCTTACCCTTTACAGAAAAAGTTTGCTGACCTCTGCTCTACATAGTAATTGTCGCTGTATTTTTATGAATGCTAAACAAATTTTTTCGGTGGGAATCACTAAATTTATCAGTAACTATGATTTCTAAGCAAACCTCTGTAAAAATACA